ATATTAAAAAATATCAGCCTTTCAGTTAGGAGCCAAGTCATGTCATTCCTGGTCATATGAAATTCTAGTCAGAATTGGGAGGTGTAGTTTGTTTTTTTTTTTTTTTTTAACAAACAAAACACAGATAGTATTCTGAGATGCCTGTGCCACCTCAGAGCATGACAAGCAAGAGGTGAATGGATTCTTCATCTCCTCCCTAAAACTTTTATTTTAGATGTAGTAAGTGTAACTCCATAAGAGTGCTTTTTATGTTTGTTGGAATAATGTTAACAGACCTACTTAAATCTTGCATTAAGTTTATGGAGCTAAAAATTCAAAGGTTAGGAAATAGGAAAGTTTTAGTTCTTAGATTCTACAGAAGAAGATTATCCTAAGATTGTGGTTCGGGTGCCTGAGGTGGATTGCATTCCCTGTTCTGCCACTTGCTTGTTTCATGATGCTGGGGAAACCTTTTTTTATTTCCCTTATGTCTCATCTGCCTTTTTTTGTAAGCTCTTTAGGTCAAGGACTCCCTATAGCTTTTTGGCTTGTGTAGAATCAAGTCCATCAAGCATTCATTTTACATGACTCTAATAATTTCCATTAAGTTAAGTATTTTGTAGCGCTCCATTTTACAGCATAAATATTAGGAATTCTTGAAAATATCCTATCAAAACTGTTTTAACAGAAAACTATGTGAGATTTATTTTTGTTTTGTCAAAATGAGTATGTACTAAAGCTTGAGTTTATAGCAATGTTGAGTATCGGGAGGGAAGAAGAACTTGTTCTTTCTGATGCTGTGAACTTTATTCTCATGTCTCTTTCTCACACTTGAAATGGTTTCCTTAATGTTATATTAATATAAATTTTATTCCATTTCTGTACCACTTTTCGTTTTATCTTTCTGAGCAATATTTCTAGTGTACCTTGTTTAAAAAAAAAAAAAAAAAGGCTTCAAGTCTACTGTAGGGGACTTGTATAAAGAAAAGAAACCTTGATCACTTTTTAGAAAGTGGAAAGAAATTCTTCAGATTCAAAACAGTGCATATGTAGTCACTATGAACACAGGAGAATTGAATACATTGCCAGTTTTGAAAATTGTGGAACAACTTAAAACATTACTTGCAAATACAATGTAACCTGAACAGTAGTGAAAATGATGAAGCCCTTGTAGTGTACAAATGGGCATTCAGACAGTTAGAGGCTATTAGTTCATTTTAAGTGATGAATTAAAGATTAAAAAAAAAAAAAAAAGAAAACACTTTAGAGGAATGTTATGGTTTCTTAGGTTGGCAGTTTGAGAATATAATTATGCAGTCTCCTATGCTCCTGCAGGTGAAACATTTAGAACTTTATCCAACTCTTATTTAAAAGTCTTATCTCAAAAGCCTACTTAAAGCAGCATTTATTTGGGCTTGCCAGTTTACCTTTACTTAATCTTCCCTTTATCTTATCATCTGATTAGGAGAGAGAATAGTGTCTTAATTCCATATGCCTTTATGAGAACATTTCTTTTATCTTCCTATTTGCTTTGTTCCTATGACAGTTTATAATAATCTCTATCTAGTGTCTTAGCTAAAACTACAGTTGAGATTTAAAATCAAATTAACTTCTGAGAAATCTATTCGTATGACTGGCAGCACATTTTTAAATTACCTCATAAGGTGACGCTTCTGAAAATCTATCTGCGCTTCTAACCAGACTTTTCTCAGTACTCCTTTGAAAGTCTGATTATTTAAGCTCAAGCACCTTCAATGCCTAAATGTCTAGTGAAGTGCTCTTGAAAGTCTGGACATGACTTTTGGCTGCTAAAATCTCTGAGTTTGGTTAGCTTCTGTGGCAAATTACTAATGTGCAATATTGTTAACAGCTTTTTGCAGAGAGAAGAAAGATGGAAAGTAATGCAGTTTTACTGGAATCCAAGTCCTCTCCCATCAACCTTCTGAATGAAATGCATCAGCTGCGTCTCCTGGGCCACTTTTGTGACGTGACAGTTAGTGTGGAATACCAAGGTGTCAGGGCAGAATTTGTTGCTCACAAAGCTGTATTAGCAGCAACAAGCAAATTTTTCAAGGAGATGTTTCTTAATGAGAAGAGCATGGATGGCCCAAGAACCAATGTGTTTTTGAATGAGGTCCAAGTTGCTGATTTTGCTTCGTTTCTTGAGTTTGTCTATACTGCTAAGGTAGAGGTGGAGGAAGACAGAGTGCAGCGTATGCTAGAAATAGCTGAAAAACTGAAGTGCTTGGACCTCTCAGAAACCTGCTTTCAATTAAAGAAGCAGATGCTTGAATCGGTGCTGTTAGAGTTGCAAAACTTCTCTGAATCACAGAACTCTGAGGAAGAGAGTGCTACCCAGACAAGCATTTTGCTTGAGACAAAAGTAGCCGCTGTGGCAGAAGCTGACCAGGCAGACTGTCCTCTGGATCTTCCAGATTCCCCAGTAGACAGTAGACCTAGCAACGGAGTAGCTCTGGAGATGCCAGCTGCCAAATCAAAAGAGAAAATGGACAAGAAGAAGGAAATGGTGAAGCCTCCCTATGCCAAAATCAGAAGGGCAAGTGGGAGGCTGGCTGGGAGGAAAGTATTTGTGGAAATCCCTAAGAAGAAGTACACAAGGCGGCTGAGAGAGCAGCAGAAGAATGCAGAGGTTACTGTTGAAGAAAACAAATACCCACAAGACCAGAGCATGTGTGATGCAGAGAGGGAGGAGGAGCAAGTGGAGAACAACATTAAACCAGAAAGTGAAGAATGTGATGGCAACTTTGAATCAGAAGAAAATCTGAAAAAATCTGAAGAGGATAAAAAGAAACGAGGCAGTAACTTCAAGTGCAGCACATGTGAGAAGGAATTCCTATATGAGAAAAGTTTTCTCAAGCATATAAAACACAGCCATGGCATTGCAGCTGAAATCATTTATCGATGTGAAACCTGCAGTCAGACCTTTGCCAACCGGTGCAACTTAAAAAGCCATCAGCGCCACGTCCACAGCAGCGAGCGCCATTTCCCTTGTGAACTCTGCGGTAAGAAGTTCAAGAGGAAGAAGGACGTCAAGAGGCACATTCTCCAGGTTCATGAGGGTGGTGGGGAGCGTCATCAGTGCCAACAGTGTGGAAAGGGGTTGAGCTCCAAAACTGCCTTGAGGCTTCATGAAAGGACGCATACAGGCGACAAGCCTTATGGGTGCACAGAGTGTGAGGCTAAATTTTCTCAGCCTTCTGCACTTAAAACACACATGAGGTATGAACAGACTTAACTGGCCTTGTTAGATTCTGGGGGGAGAAGCAGAATCCCCTGGAACACATCTTGAGCCTTCAAGTGAAGTGGGGATGTAAAACATGACTGACCAGAAAGTTGCAGTATTTCCTTTTCATAGCTTTTTTTTTTCTGCTTTTCAGGTTAAGGGGGTTGAAGTATTTCTCCCTAAGACAAAGTGAAGGTGCATGGGCTGCAATCCTGCTAATGCTGAAGTGCACGGTTAACTTTTCTCATGGGAGTAGACCTATTGAGAGTCAGTGGGACTGTTCACATGAGAAGGGCCGCCGTGCTGAGCTATTCGTAGGATCGGGGCTGTAGTGATTTCAGCTAATTTGATACCTCCACATTTAATAGAAAAATGTTTTTGCAGTAAGTGCGAAAATATTCGGAAAAGATGTGGCCATGTGTTGCATCCAAGAACACCAGATTTGGGGTGCTAAGCGTAGAAAACAGCTGAAATTTGGTTAGAAACAGACCTGTATGTCGCTGTGTAGTGGAGACTGGTGAAGCACAGAAGATAACTGCAGCAGAAGTGATGAATTCAATTGTAGCACTTGTATTTCAGTGAGGCGTGAAGTTGGAAGTGCAAACACGTGATCTTAGAGGTTCATGGGAGAGACATTTTTCTGAAGGCAAAAATTCTGCTCATTGAGGGCTTGATCCTGCTGGGTGCTGAGCAGCACTGGCTTTAGTCTACCAAAGTAGTGATTAAAAAACAAAGTTCAGACTGTAGACACGAAGTAAGTGTGGAAAGTGAGGTATAGAAGCAAAATCCCAGACGTTGACTTCTCAGATCCAAAAAGAGAGTGCAGTAGTGTCAGCATATTCCTAGATGGCCTTTCCTGCAAGGTACAGAGAGTTCATTAAGCACTGCTTTGCCTCACTAGCCCTGTTGAAGTCAATGGGTGTGCTCCCAGTGGCAAAAAGCACGTTCAGAAGCAAACTTCTGCTGGAGTATTCATACGCTGTTACTGCTGATGCAGCCGTATGGAATCGCTTTGTCATCAAGGGTTCTTTTCTAAGCTTAAGTGACTGTTTTGTGCTTCTTAAGAAATAATTTGTTGGCAGAATTGAGAATACAGTTTCTCCTCCTTTGTGTACCACTATGAATATTTCATAAGCCTGTTTCTTAAATGCTAGATATTCAGTGCTGTTATAACTGGCATATCATGACAGTTTATGGTGAGAATTTCTCATCTTTTCACATATATTTTTATGTCTAAGCTCCTCTTCTTGACGTATTACCATGAAGGCTGGCCTACTGTTTTCTGTGTCTGCAGCACTATGTGAAAGAGTCCCGAAGTTTGCATAGGCTGCACAGTTATGATAGAGGAAACTGAAACACTGGTACAGGCAACAGTTCAGTAAACTGTTCTTCATGTACACACAGTCTTCTCTAGGAGATCTCGCTGCAAGCTTGGGGTGAAAGTAAGAAAAATGACTGTATAACAATGACATCTTTTTATTTTGCTCCTTAGGTGCCACTAGTTTCAATTGTAGCCACTGAGTTATTTTATATCTGATGACCCTGCAGAAGAGATGCAGTAGTAGTGTGCCAGGGAACGCATCAGTTGTGTTCTAAGTGTGGAATATTTTACTCATGATGTTGGCTATATAAAGATAATTGCTTTACTTTAGATCCCACGGTGGTTACATTTTTTTTTCAAACTTTCTATCCAGACGTAAGTTTTCTAAGCTTTACTCATTTTTTAGCTTGAAGTCTCTTTTTTCCCCCTTAAAAAAACTGCACTTGGACCTTGATTATGCAACACATTAAAATAAACCCAGCACTGCATAAATCATGATGCAGAATTGGGCCCAGCTGAAGGTATTTTTTTAAAGGACAAAAAAATCTGTTGCAGATGCATAGTCACTTTTCAGAGAACAGCCACAAAGTAACGATGACTTGCACTGTGCTGCAAAGGAGAGACATATACCTTGGTATTTTATTGTTGCTTTCTCATTTCAGAATCCATACTGGTGAAAAACCTTTTGTCTGTGATGAATGTGGTGCCAGGTTTACTCAGAATCACATGCTTATATATCACAAAAGATGTCACACAGGTAAGGCTTTCTTTTACAATGTAGTCTGCATAGGAGCAGGCCTACTGTGAAACCAGATCCTTTTTTCATTCAGAAGCCAAATGCTCTTAATAGTTTTAGGTAGTTAAAATGGTGTCTACGGATGAGAAAATCTAATTTCATGAGAAAGGTTTTTTGCTGATGCAGGTTGCTACACTTAAAGAAAGTTGCAAGAATTCTTTAATTAGAATTTCCTTAAAAACCTTAATTAGTTTTCAGTGAAATACCAGCTGTATCATTCACAGCACCCGTATGCCACTAAACCAGGAGCTTCTATATGAGGTAGATGTATTTTTCTAGAAGCATCCTGCTTTTCTATAGCAGTACTTTGTTCCACAGAAAAATTCTTCAAGTCATGGCATTAATAGTCTGCTTAATTTCCAGCTGTATGAGTACTTTCAAAAATAAGATTGCAGGTAACCACTATTTTTGTCTTAATGTACTGTCATTTTTTTTAATAAACTAAAATCTTTTTTTCAGAGGCCTCAGAAATCCTCTTTCTTGACTAGAGATCTCAATCTGTTTAAAAAAAAAAAAAAAAGTTGGTTTTTAAGTCCTCCTCCACGGGGCTACTTGGATCTCAGCTTCTTCTAGGTGGATAGGCAGATAGTAAAAAGAGCAAAAGGAGCTTACTGAAGAGAAAAGTTTCCTTCTGAGAGGGATCCAGCCTCTAAAGTGTGGATTGAGGCTGCTTTGGACGTTCGCTCAGTTCTATCATCGGCAGAAGTTCTAGTTGAAATCCTAAGAAAAGAATGATTTCTCTGTAAGCCTGAAATAGTTAACCCAACGAACATAACACAGTGGTCTTGGCCCCTTTTTTTTTAAGAGAACATCTCCTCCTTCAGAGTATACTTTGTAGTCTTAAGTTGGTGTTTTGAATTGACCCGTCATACCAGCCGTGTGTCATGTATGGTACTGCTGCATTTCTAATTGACTTGTCATAGAAGTGTCCACCTTATGCCTGTGACGTGTAACTAAATGCAGCTGGCAGAAAACTTTAAATTGCAATGAAATACAATTATAAGAACACTTTTCCAGAGGCATTTAACTAAAATCGGCGGCTTTCAGGTGGAGGCCTTTCATCAGAGGTGTGCAGGGGTGTATTCAGTATGACAGTGAGCCAGAATACCCCAAAGATACTGAGAAGACTCTGAAGATCTCATTGGGCTTTTGCTCGTACTATGTAGCGATGTTAATGTACTTTTTGGATAGGTATGGTTACCCTTGTAGTATGAGTGTTTTGTGCAGATTTCTTGAAAGAGAATTCTGTGCCTTATGCAGAGGTCCATGTCACTGTGGTCCATTCAGATCCTTTTTTGAGGCTGGCGTATGGTTCCTTTGTATCTAATAACAGCTTTCAGCTTTTGCATGTGATGTTGAACAGCATTCTCAAATGCTACTTGGGTTGAATTCTCCACTTCACCCTTGCTGCAGGGGAAAGGCCTTTTATGTGTGAAACATGTGGGAAGAGCTTTGCCTCTAAGGAGTACTTGAAACACCATAACAGAATACATACCGGCTCCAAACCATTTAAATGTGAAGTTTGCTTCAGAACGTTTGCACAGAGAAATTCACTTTACCAGCATATTAAAGTTCACACAGGTAGGAGGTTTGTTTTTTTTTTTTTTTTTTTGAGCAAAACATCATGATTTACAGACCTACATCTCAGTTGCATAACACAGACAACGGATTTCTCGACTAGGATTTTCCATTTTTTAAGTCCTGTTTTGTGTGCAAGTTTTTGTTCTTGATGCAGTGCATCATTTCATGTACTTCTCTTAGCAATCCCTGTATTTCTTGCTGAGTGTCACAGCAGTTCTTTGAAGTATTTCTAAGAGCTGTGCAGATATTGCTCATACTGCTGATGCACTATGAGAAATCGGAGGATTATTAGTGACTAAAAAACTATGTCTGATTTAGCTCTGAGCAGAGCACTGCAGAGTTGCTCTCTTTCTTGTCTGCTTCTCCACCTTTCCTGTTTGCATTCTCTCCTACTTAGATTTATTCTTCAGTCTCTGTTTCATTCCCACCTGCTGCTCCGTTTCGTGAATTGAAAACGGTGACCGTAGGTGCAATAACACTGACTTCCAAGTAGTGCCACCTGGAGCATGTAGGCTTCGTGTCAGTGCTAGAAGGAACTTTCACTATTTGAAAGTCTGCCATGTCTATGCATTTTACATTTTCTCTTACCCTGTCCCTTTTGGAAGAACAGAACTCTGTGGTTTCTTCACAATGCTAGCTCTAAATTTTAGCCCTCCTGAAATCTGAGTTATGCTTTCTCTTTCAGTTTTCTTGTCTGCTCTCTCAAAGTCCACATTATTCAGCACTACAGCAGTTTGTAAATGTTCATGTTACTTTGATGATGTAAAAAATAGCTTGCTTTCTTGTCCAGTGCTACTGAATTCATAGCATTTGGAGAGGACCTAGTGGTTACGAGAAGTTCTGGTATTCCTGCTTATACAACATACCATGTAAATTGGAAAACTTTTATTCCAAGACAGGAGTTCAGTTGCTGATGTAAAATATATGCAAAGAAAAGGTGGAGGCTTCCGTGGTTGCGAAGATTTATGCAGGCTGTGAATCTAGCCCTTAAGCTAGAAGTATCTGTTTATTCCAGATGGGTCAAAACTTATCCAACTGTGAGAGTTCTGAAAGCATCTCAGTGCTTTCTAAAGACGCTTATGCTTGCCTTATCATTCAATGAAGTTTAGGACTTACTTGAGGTTACCCTGGTACGCTCTTAATGCATCTGTGCCGTCACTTTAATGTTGTGCTTTGCTTTCAGGTGAACGACCCTATTGCTGTGACCAGTGTGGTAAACAGTTCACACAGCTCAATGCACTGCAGCGCCACCATCGAATCCACACAGGGGAGAAGCCATTCATGTGCAATGCATGTGGGCGAACCTTTACTGACAAGTCCACACTCCGGCGACACACTTCAGTAAGAACCTGTAGCTCTAGAGCCTTGTCCCATGTCCAGGTACTGACATGTAAACTTTGTCAGGCCTGAAAGGGGACTTCCTGTCCAGTGTCTGCTGGTCTTAGTACATAGTTCTTTGTCCAAGTTGGCATAAAAATATTGGAAAATATTGGAAAGTGTTCAGTCCTGTGTCTACAGTAAAGCCATTCTTAATCCATTATGGCATAGCTCACGTAGGTCGCACCTGAAGACTGTTCAGTCACAGTTTTGTTCCTGATGTAACTGGGAAATGATAGGAGACTTCCAGCAGAAAGTCTGGCCCAGAAAGGGGTCAGTTTGATGCCTTATGAAAACAAAGGAAACCCACCAGGGATACGGATTAGTGCCTTGATGTATATGCCAAACTACTTTGGGGACTCTTTTCTGGGATGGGAAGAGAGGGCTTTCTTTCAGCATGCCTGGATGAGTTGGGTTCAAGCTTTTGCCTGCCTGGCAGTCGTCATGTGTTCAAACTTTTGTTTTGTTTTCAGATACATGATAAAAACACCCCATGGAAGTCCTTCCTTGTCATTGTTGAAGGAGCATCTAAGAATGATGAAGGCCATAAAACAGAGCTTCCTGATGAAGAATATGATGTGCCACCTAAAATACCAGAGAAGCTGCTATCTTTTTCTGAAAATGGCCACTATCAAAACTTGACTGCTGTCCCAGGGAGTGTGACTGCACTGCATGATAGTGGTTCTGCCACAGGGACAGACTGTAAGTCAGATGGGACTCCGGGACCCCAAGAAGCCCTTATAGCTACCACTCTAAGTGAGCTGACAGTACTACATACACAAACAGACTCTATTCAGCCGCAGCTTCATGCTTTGGTGAATATGGAATAATTTGATATTTACGAACCCAGTTTAAGATGCACCCTTTGTATAGTCCTTTGACTTTGCCAATAACCTACTGAGGGAACTAGGAGAAGCTATAGAAAGGAAGCAAGGGTAGACACGAACGTCATCCACAGGATTTTCCTGAATTTTCCCCCAAAATTCATTTTCCACCCTCAGTGTGTACAGCTCCATCTCCTGAAGGTAGGGTAGAATAACACCAAATGCAAATTGGTTTTATCAGCTGAAATACATTTAGATCCCCATAACATAATGGTGGTGGAGAAGACCAAAATGCCAGGACGTTTATTTCCTAGGAAAAGGAGGAGGTTGGAAGCTGGTATAGTTGAGATCATCTAGCTTGCCCTAGCTGGTCTACGGGGAAAGGAAGCACTTAAGACAGGTTATAAAGAAGATGTAAGTTTGGTTTGCAGTTGATTTGATTGCACATGTGTACAATCAGAAGAAATGATTTCACGTTTCTCGGCCCAGGAGTTTAGTCAGATTAATTGTATTTTCCCTAGGAGAAATTCATACATAAAAAATAAACTTCTGCTAAATTTAATTTCAGGAAATGTTGGTTAATCTCTGCTTTGCCAAAGATCCAAGCAGTGAGCCAGCTCACTCTTCGGAAATAAAAGTGGGAGCCAACTTTGGAAAGACTTAGAGTTTCATTCTATGAGTTCTGATGCTTTAGCAGCAAAAATGAGGCAAGTGCAAGCAAAGCCTTAGGTCTGTACAGCTGATGGTATTCTTGCTACGTTTCAGGAAAACTTGGTGCAACTTGACACTTACTCAGTCAGACATACTTTGTCTGTAACTGCTCTAGTCTACCTAAAACTTGGTACTTAGCAGCCAAAATGTGTCTTGTAAAAATGTTTTACCAATAGTAGTGCTTGAGCTCTCCTGAAAAAGCCAGGGTAACAAAGCCCCTTGTAGAAAGACCGCTTATCAGCATTTTCCTGTGGAAACATTTCTAAAGAGCTTTCTGTTGGTCCAAAGACATCAGCAGTGCTGTTTTCTCTGCCGTCGCTTAAACGTCGCTGTTGTTCGCAACTGCAGACCTCTGAAATCAGGCTGTTACTCTGGCCAAAGCCTCTGAGGCAGTTTCTGCCCATGCCCGCTTTGTGCATTTCCTGAAGGCCCGCTGTCTTGTATGAATTCACCTTCAGTGTCAGCAGAGTTACTGTGGCTGACCCAAGGTTAACCCAGCTGGAATACTGGTGAGGGTGTTGCTTTTTTTTTCCCATGGAAGAAATCAGGAGAGCTGTCTTTGAAACAAAGTTGGCCCTGAGCAAGAAAAGAAATGTTTGACTGGGCCAACTCTTGCCTTTGGAAGCAGCTGTTAATCCAAAGCAACTTGCTGGTATGGTTAACTCTTCAGACTCGGGGCCAGTTTCCTAATGCCACCGTATGAAAATCTGGAGCTTTTCTGATGCATTTTTGTGTGTGGCTGTTCTGTTTCTTCTTCCTTGAATATTATGAAAGTGGTATTTCCACAGAAACTTGCTCCTCGGAAGCTTGGAGAAAAGCTTACTGAAAGATTGCTTGTAAAGGTAAGCCCAGTCAAGCCTTGTTATGGCCCGTTCTAAGGCTTAGGGGGTTGGCAAAGCAATAAAGATATCCCAGCTGTGGCACAGAGCTCTTTTTGAACCTGAAAGGCATGTCTGGTGTTACCCTGGGATTATAACTTAATCTACAGAAAGGGATTTTTTTTTAAAGAGAACATTTCCAAGAGGTTATATTTGAAATATTTATTCAAGCATGATGTTACCGTTGAAGCTCAGTATGCCTAATGACCAATGTAAAGAGTTTGTAGATATATTTAAGGCTGAGCAGTAGTACCTAGAGACAGGGAAGCTTTTGTACTCCTTGACTGTATGGAAGTGAGGTACTTGTATGAACTGTTCTTATTAAAATACTGCAATCTTAAGAGGGACCCTGAAGTGACTTGATTATTGTATGAAATATTACTAGGTCCTGTGCTTTCCTACCTAGGCATTCCTTCTAAGTGTAAGAATCTCCTCTTAGCTTAACAGATATGCTAACATGGGTCTTTCAAGTTACACTACCTAGAATGGAGCCTGTGGGAGAGAAGTGCCCAGTCAGAAAAGGAAAGAAATGTGTGGAGCCTGCCAGGAGGGTTGCTTTTTGGTGAGCAAGTGGTGAATAAAGTACCACTCTGGTAGTACTAAAACACTTGAGGAGAGTCAGTCCAACTGGGTTGTACTCCCAGGAAGTGTTTTGATTAGAAACAAATGGCAGACGAGCAGGAAAGCCAGCGTACCAGCTGCTGGGGGTATGAGCAGACCCACAGGACGTGGTGCTCCCTTCCTCCAAGAGAAACAATGGGCAAAGTGCAAGCGGGCTGGCGATGCCTGCGATGCCTGCGGTGCAGTTACTGCCTGGGGGCTGCTCTGATTAGGATGATAGGAAGGAGCAGAAAAATACTCCTGCATGTCCCCGCAGGAGTGCAGCCACGTGACTGCACAGGAGCCACCCTCTGGGGCGGGGGGTCTGGGCCCCTCTGTCCAGCCCGGCATCTCCCATATGAGGAAAGGCTGAGAGAGCTGGGACTTCAGCCTGGAGAAGGGAAGACAGAGGGGGCATCTTAGCAAGGTGTTGAAATATCTGAAGGGAGGCTGTAAAGAGGCTGGGGCCAGGCTTGTCAGTTTGCCCAGTGACAGGATGAGGGGCAACGGGCACAAACTGAAACACAGGAAGCTCCATCTGAAGAGGAGGAACAACTGAACAGGCGACTGCTGTTCCTCCCTGCCAGAAATCCCCCTCCCCAGGGCGCAGGGCACTTGGTCCCCCAGAGATCCCTGGCCCCAGCCCTCACCAGCACAGGGAGCTCGCGTGCCGCAGGAGCCGCTCTGCAGGGAGACCGAGGGAGAAAGGAGGAGACAAAGTAGGGGAGAGAGGGAAAAGAAGAAAGAGAGAGAGAGGAGAGAGAGAAAGCGGGCAGCAAAGAAAGAGAAAGGGAAAGTGGGAAAAGAGGGAGAGAAAGAGGGAGGGAGAAATGGAGAAACAGAGAAAGAATGAGAAAGAAGAGAGAACAAGAGACGGGGGAAAAAGAAAGCAGGAGAGAAAGTGGGGGGAAAAGGAAAAGGCAGAGGGAAAAAGGGAGGAAGGGAGGAAAAGGGGGAGAGAAAGAAGAAGAAATGGGAAGAAGGGGGTGAGAGAGAGACAGAGAGGGAAAGACAGGAAGAGGGAGACTAAGAGAAAGGCAGAAAGGGAGAGAAAGAGTTGAAGGAATGAAAGGGAGAAGGAGAGAGAGGCCAAAGGAGGGCAAGGCAGAAGGGGAGAGAAGGACGGGAGGTAGGAGAGGAAGAAGAGAGACCAGGGAAAGAGAGAAAGTGAGGTAGAGAAAGACAGAGGGAGAGAGAGAAAGTGAGAGAACAAGAGTGAAGGAGAGAGGAAAAAAGAAGAAAGAAAGTGGGAGAGGAGAGGGAGAGAGCGAGAGAAGAAGAGCAATGCGGAAGGAGAGGAAGAGAAAGAGCAAGAGAAGACAGCGAGGGAGAAGGAGGCAAAAAGAGGGAGGGAGAGAAGAACAGAGAAGGAGAGGAGAGAACAAGAGAGAAAGTGAGAGGGAGGTAGAGGGAGAAAGAGGGTGGCAGAGAAAGAAAGAGAGGAAGAGTGAAGAAGAGAAGGAGAAAGAAGGGGAAAGAGATGGGGAGAGAAGGCAAGAGAGAGCAAAGGAGGGGGAGAGAGGGAGAAGGAGCAAGAAAAAAAGGGAGAGGAAGAAGAGGGAGAGCGAGAGAAATAAGGAGAGAGGGGGAGTAGGAAAGAGCAAGAGAGATGCTGAGAAGGAGAGGGAAATGGAAAGAGAATGAGGAGGGAGAGAAGAGAAGGAGGGAGAAAAGGGGAGGAAAAGGAATGAAGAATGAAAGAATGAAAGGGAGAAGAGAGGAAAAAGGAAGAAGCGAGTGAGAATTATAGAGAGAGAAAGAGATATGGGGCAGAGAGAAGGGGAGAGAACAAGAGAGAAGAGAAAGAAAGAAAAACAAGGGAGAGAGAAGGAAGAAGAAAGAAGGAGAAAGGAAAAGAGTGAGGGCAGACGAGAGAGAACAAGAGGGGAAGAACATGGGGGAGAGAAACAGGAGAGAGGGACAGAGGGAAAGAAAAAAATGGAATGAGAAAGGGAGATGGAGAAAGGGAAAAGGGAGAAAGAGTGACAGAGAAAGAAAAAGAAAGAAGGAGAAGTAGAAGAAGAAAGAGAAGAAGAAATCTAGAAGAAATATTGAGGAATAAATACACAAGAAGAAAAGGGAAAGGGGGAAAAGAGAAGAAAAGGGAAAGACTGACCTCGGGGAGCAAGCGCGTGCAAGAGAGCAGGGCAGAAGGTGGTGAGACCTTGAGGAACAGAGGGGAGGGAGAGAGAGGGGGAGAGAGAAAAAGAGAGAAAGAGGGCAGAAGAGAGAGAAAGAAAAGGCAGCAAGGCGAAGAGAGGAAGAGAGAGCAGGAGCTGGCTGGTGAGAGAGAGCAAGGAAGGAAGGGAGAGAGGGGGAAGAGGGGGAGCAAGGGAAGAGGAGGGAGAGAAAAGGCCAAAAGGGGGAGAGGGAAGGAGAAGGAGAAAAAAGGGCGAGAGGGAGGGAGAAAGAGGGAGACAGAGAGAAAGCAAGAGAAAAGAGAAAGGGAGTTGAGAGTGAAGCGCACGAGAAAGAGGGAGCACGAGGGAGATGAAGCCAGGTAAAGGGAGAGGAAGGAGGGAGGGGGAGAGCCGGAGGGAGGAAGGGAGAGAAAGAGAGCGAGTGGAAAAGCAAGCAAGCAGGAGAAAGAGAGCAAAAGGGAGAAGGGCGGA